GAACCAATAAAACCACTAGCTCATAGATGTAGAAAAAATAAACCCATTGTCGCAGAGACAAAATAGATCATTCACATGGGCGCTAAGATGAACAGAGAAATTTTGGATGTATAAAATGGGAGACAAGAGATTAGGGTTAAGGGAGAGAAGAGGGATTAGAGAGATGGGAATTTTTTCTCTTTGGCGCTAAGAAAACCCCATTTCTCTTTTTTTTATTTGTTTGCAATTTCGCCACATATATTAACCCCATATAAACATCTCATAAAAATAAAAATAAAAAAAAAAAAACCCATCGGTGCCCTCCACTTACATCTCATCCTCCCCTTGAAATATAAAAAGAAAAAAAAAAGACGTTTAATATATTATCTATAAAATACTCCCTATGATAATAATTAAAATAAAAACCTAATTTCTCAACTTAGGATTATAAAAAAAGAAAAATTAGGAAAAAAAAAAAAAAAACTAGAAATTAAAACCCATTTCCAAGTATTCTTTTATGCTGTAATTCTCTCAAACTTCCACCGGTAAGAGTTGAAGCTCCCAAGTTGCAAACTTCGACCCGATTGAGTACCCGACTTGGCCTTCACTTCTTCACATCACGTTGCAACTCGAGGTGTTTTCGTCACTGAACGCGTGGGTATACGGGTCGGCTGGTGGAGGCGGGTACGGGTATGGATACGGGTAATGATACGGCGGTATGTAATTGACGGCAGGCGGTGGCCTGGCGTACATCATCGGCTGGAATCTTTCATTAGCGCCGCCCATTGCTCGGTTCTGGTTCATCACTGCCGCCATATACTGTTGTTGCTGCTGTTGTTGTTGCTGCTGGTGGTACGGATTTCCGGGCATAAGATCCGGCCCGGCTCCCTGAAAATATCCACCACCACCACCGGCTCCACCTCCGTTCATGGCGGCTGCCGGTAAACCTTGAACAGCAGGGACGTTACCCAGTTGACTAATGGGGAGATTACCCATTTGAGACATCGGCATACCGAGGTTACCCATTTGACCGTTCGGCCCGCCGGCGCCGCCCATGCCCGGAAATCCATTGTTCAGAGGATGAACCCCATCATTTCCCTTCTTTACACCATTGTTGTTACCATTACCACCACCACCCTTGTTATTATTTTGCCCACCACCGCCGCCATTGTTACCGCTTTTGGCATCTTGTGGTCCGCCGCCGTTTTTACCACCATTTTTTCCAGCTTGATTTTGATTTCCGCCATTGTTACCACCTCCACCGCCCGGCTTTTTACCTCCGTTACCATTTTTACCATCACCTCCGCTTATCTGAACCGGCACAGGGTTCCCACCCCCCCCGCCATTCTTACCTCCATTTTTACCATTTGCACCGCCATTGTTACCACCTTTCAGGGCATTCATAAGCTGAGGGTTGTTACTCGGATTCATCATACCATTCATCAGCATGCCATTACCCATGGCGGGTTTCATCGGAAGAGGATGCCGGGGAGGAGGATCATCCATCTCATCGTCAAAATCATCATCATCCAAATCATCATCAAAATCATCATAATCGTCTTCGTCGCTGAAATCGTCATCCTCCGGGATGTTGAACTTCACAGCTTTCTGATTCGGGTTCTGGTTCGGATTAAAAGGTGGCATCTTCAGGTCCTTCAATTGGGGCAATTTCAGATCTTGGAATCCCTTCATCTGCTGAAGCTGCTGCAGCTGTTGAAGTTGCTGGAGTTGCTGTGGCGTCGGCTGGCCGCCTCCGCCTCCTCCTCCGCCAACCTTTTGGTTGTTGTTATTTCCGCCGCCACCTCCGCCACCCTTATGATTTTTATTGTTACCAGCTTTGCCATTATCAATCTGCATGTTCTTGAATTGGTTCGCTAATTGATTTATGTTAGGTTTCGGAGCTCCCCAAATCTCTGCATGCTTCCCTGATTTTGCTAGCTTCTTGATAAGAATCGCAGGGTCCACATTCCCGGAAACTGTCACTTTACCTTGCTCGGAATCTATGGTGGTCTTGTAAACCCCTGTTCAAACCAGGGCAAAGCAAAAACAATAAAATCAGAACCGTGGGAGTTTTGAAGAAAACGATATAGTTTACAGAATGAACAAAAACAGATCAAGGATTTCTGCGAGATTTAACACGAAGGAAAATGGGGCCAAGGAATATGGATTAATACCATCATTTTTTGAAAGATGAAATAGAAGAGGGAAATGGGGGAGAAGTACCATCAATTTTCTGCAAGATTTTCTTGACTTTCTGCTTACATCCATCACAGTGAATATTAACTTTAAGAACACAGGTCTGCATGCAGAAGCAAATTCAAAAGAACAAAACCATAAGTTAAGGAGAAGAATAAGAAGAAAACAAGATACAAAGAAAAGCAAACAAAAAAAAAATAAAAGGAAGAAGTACCTGGATCTTCATGAACTCTTCTTTACTCATTTTGTTTACCACCAAAAAGAACCAACCAGAAAAGAACAATTAAACGAGAAAACAGAAAGCTTCAAAGCTACTAGATCTGAGATGGAAACAAGGTGCTCCTCTGTTCTTCTTCTTCTTCTTCTTCTTCTTCCTCCTTTTGGGTTTTTCTCAAGCATGTACAGAGAGAAAAAGGAAAATAAAACGAGAGAGAAAACAAATGGTGGATCAGTTTTGTGAGCAGAGAAAAGTTGAGAGACTAGAAAACAGGAAGAATGGTTGAGTCTTTGGAGAGATAGAGTGTGTGGGTGGACATTGAAACTCTGGTTTTCATCTGTTTCAGGATTGGAAAGAGAGAGAGAGAGGAAAGAGGGGTTAGCAAGGAGAGAAGCAAAGGGACTGGCAGAGAGAGTGAGTGCTGCAAGGTTTCACTCAAGTCTTTTAGGCCTTTATTTATTGGTGGGATATAATGTGTGGGTGTGTATATATAATATATAAATGATGTATGTATATATTGTGAAAATCACTGAGTTTATATTAGGCTTGTAATAGCCACTAGCCACTTAGCCATGTGGGTATTTGGCTTGGCTTAAAGGTTTAATAAATAAATAAAAAATTTAAAAAAAAAAAAAAAAGGGGAGAGAAAAAGAAAAAGGCAATTGTGGCTTCTCCAGTTTGGGTTTTAGGCTTCTTCAAATTTTTGGAACTTTTGCAATAGTTTACTACCAATAATATCTTTTAAAAAAGCACAATTTTTAAATTCTGATTTTCTTTGTCACAAATTAAAGACCACTTCATAATCTATAAATTTCTAGATTCAAGTTTAAATATATCAATAATAATTATAACTACTATTCTCATATTATTTAATACTGATATGTAAGAACACAAAAAATAATAATAATAATAATAATTGTTGTGGAATTTTGAATGTTTAATAGATGGGTTAGGGTTTAAGTAATAAAGTAAATTAATGAAGAGGGTAATTTATGATATATAATTTTATATTAAATTATATATATTTATATGTATGCGTGGATGAATGTATTGTCAGATTTTTCTCTCCAAATTTGGGTGGTAACCATAAATAAATAATCCAATTTAATGTGTACATGTAAAAATTATTAAATTTTGCATACTGTTTTTGGTACGTTGCAAACATTTTGTTTCCCCATCTAAATTTACCCTTTTGCCCCTCTTTTTGGCCTTTTCCTCTCTTTTCCCCATACTACAACTTTGTAATTTCCAATTTGTATGTACAGGCACACATGATCACGTATACATATACATATACATATAGAGAGAGAGAGAGAGGGATTTATTATTTTTTTGGTTGGTTTTTTGAGTTGGCATAGAACCAGAATTAGCAATTAGGTTGATACTGGTTCAATTTATTATTTAATAAAAAGACACTTTTTATTAATTACAGAATTGAATTGTTTATTTAATAATGACAAATCAAATAATGAAATTTAGGTTCGTAGTTTGACATCCCAAATTTCTAACATCTAATCAATTCTCAATTATAATAAAATTACAAAATAACAATTAGTGAATTATTGATTTTTAAGAATCTATGCAATTTTATTTCAAAAACAGAAGTTATCAACCTGAGTCATTAAATTATATCATTAATTCAGTTTTTTTGAAATCTTTTCTTCATAATTCACAAAACCCACTTAAATAATATATTTTTACAAGAATTGCAATTAACATTTATGTGATATTTATAATTATATAAATTAAATAAATAGTTAGAAAATGATACTTAATTTTCAAAGATTTACATGGTCAAAAGTAGAATTGGAACTAATGGTCAAAAGATCTTCAAGTAGCTACTGACCTTCCAACAACAACAACAAATTAAGTGGGCGACTGCTGCCCTTTTTTAAAAAAAACTATTTAGAAAAGAAAATTTGGACATGAAATCCATTTAAATCCAACGTCCTGAAAAGAGGGAGAAATTATATGATCTCCAATTATATATATATATATATATATATATTGCATTTGGAATTTTACTCTGTGATAAACACCCAAATTGTTCATTTTTAAAAGTGACTTGTGAATTTTACTGTGTGGCAACTAAAGTGAATTAGTCACTTTCTAGATAATTTTATGATTATAATATATTATCTACAATAATAATTTTTATTTTTTTTTTATTTTATAATGATTTTAAAAGTTACTTTTTAATATCTAAACATTATATAAATTTTTTTCATTAAAAATAAAAATAAACTGAACCATTTCAAATCAAAACAAATAAAAAAAAAAAAAGATAAAAATCGTGAAATATC